GTGTGGCATATGCTAATGAGTTATGCTCATGATTTCCCCTAGCTCTTTTTCTACGAAACGACCCCTGATCTAGACAACCCTGGCATCAAAGATCATTTTAGACGTATATTTTAGAGAGTTAGGCTTGACAAGCCCAAGAGTCTAAAGCCCTTTGCAAGCCTAAGGGGCCTTCATTCAGCAGAAAACAGCCACTCGAGTTGGAGGAAAGTTCCAAGGCTGAAGGACGATGGATTGGGGGGATCGGTATCTCAGTCCTGTCCTGCCGAAGCCCTGTCTCATCAACCAGATGGGTTTTCAGCTTCTGCTGTAGGGATAGCACTCAGCTTGGTTGCATCTATTATACTGTGCTTAAAAAGAAACCTCTTTCCTGAATTTCCTGTCTCTCAGTCGGGGTAACTCTGACCTGTCCTTGACTCTTTTTCCAGGCTGCCTGTTTGACAGGAGATTGTGCTCTCAGCAGGAGGTCTGTGTGCAAGGTAAATGAACTGAGGTAGGAGTACAAGTTGGTTCTTGAGACTGCTGTGGAGGTGCAAAGCATCGCCTGGCAGCTTTGTAAGCTGGCTTTCCTCACTTTGTTGAAGTATATTTTGGATGGGGGGAGGGTAACACTGCATGCAGCAGCATCCGATCTGAAAGCCCTTGTGCCCGCAAGGTAAACTCAGAGCTTACCTCCTGTGGGGCTGACACACTCTTCAAATGATACTGAAATAAATATTGCAGTTTAATTATTGCAATATAGCAGTATAGCTCCACTTTGGGGTAGGGAGAAGGAATGGTACTTTGCTTACCCCTGAGGACAAAACCGTTTTCCCCTTTGTATCTGACGAAGAGAGCTTTGAATCCTGAAAAGCTTGTTGGACTCTTAAGGTGTTCCTGGACTTGAATGTACGTCTTCTCCTGCAGACCAGCCCGACTACCCTCCAAAATTGTTCTCTCCTTTGGCCTCTCTGCATCTGGAATTCAGGAGGGGCACCCTCTTGCAATTAGCCTAAACCACATTATGTTTTCAGTATAGACACATTGTGCTACAATGAAGTTCCTCCTCGGTTGCATGTTAGCCTGCTTCATGGCCATCTTGCTTGCCTGGCAACTTGACTCTGTGCCCGTGTCGTACTTGCAGATGGCTTGTTTGGTCAGTGCCAGGGAAGTTCACTACAAGATCGGCCCTACTTTCAAGTCACAGCACCAGTGCTGCAACGTCTACAAGATGTGCTCCGGCACCTTATGGCGCAAGGTGAGCAGCCACCAGTGTGGGAAGGAGGAATGGGCATGAGGAGGGGAAGCGGGGCAGTGCTGCACAAAGCTGGAAAGAATATTCAGAGGGGAAGTTCTTCTTGCCTTCCTTCCACATTGTGTGGGAAGGTCCATTAAGGGCTGGATTCAGAGCTTGGCTTCTTCGCCCCCTCCTGGCCACACTCTTGACTTTTTGTCTTTATGACAGGTTTATCATGGCAGGATGACATCACACAGTATGTGATCTCCCAGGAAATGGAACGCATCCCCACAGTTTACCTTCCCCCTTCGCAGGACCTGGTGTCTGAGGACAGGTCAGGTGAACAATTTGGGAAACGTGTGAGGGTAGTGGAGTCTAGGTGACAGCCATTCCTTTGTCATTCAGAATGGCAGGTTTAAAGAGGGAACCAACACAGTTTGAGAAACCATTCAGACCTCTGTCCTGAGCTGAGAGGTAGATATGCTGATATTCAGGCAAAGGGAAACGGCTAAAGCTGAGATGGCAGCAATGGACTTTCGAGAGCCATCATGTGAACCTGGGAATCAACATGGGTGATAAGCAGAGGAAGAGTCTTATCAGAGGTTTAGCAGGATGCAGTATAAACAGAGACTCCCATAATGGTGTTCCCATTTTCCAAGCAAGAGTACTGTGGCCATTGGCATAAGAATACTGACTGTATTGGTGGGAGACCTCACCTGCAGAGCATGAGTTTAGAGGCACTGGCTGTGATAAGATTCTAGCAAGCAAGATAAATTCTAAAAAGGGTTGATATGCTAGTCTGTTGGAGCCAAAAGAACACAGCATCTTGTGGCACTAAAGAGTAATAAATGTATTGCCGCATAATGTCAGACTTTTGGACAAAGTTACTCTCAACAACACTCACTGAAGGTGGTTTGTTTATTGAAGAATAAAGATGTTCCAAGCTAAGACCATTGTTGAGTCAGAACTGAGGTTCTGGCACGAAACCCCCCAATTATACATGGTTCAAATGTAGTCCCCCCCAATCAACCCACCACCTGTAAATCACTCGTTCATTATCTAAGCTAAGGCGGTAAGCACAGACACAGACCAAGACCATTTGGCCGACTTCCCTGGGAAAGGGGGAGGTATCTTCAGAAAGTTACATGAGATGCATTGCCCTACAATAAAGCCATTCTCACTCTCACACATTCCCCCACTCCCCCCCCCCCCCGCTTTGGAATTTCCCCAGAACAACATGGCAAATGAGGCATCGAGTTTGACATTCTGCACCCCCCAAAGTCCTCATCCCCCTGGCTTGAGGGGGTTGCTGTTTATGAAAAGCGCGTACTAATCTGGGAGCGTTAACATGTTTCATGTGCACCCATTCATTACGGTTGGAATCAAAGTGCTTCCACTTGATGAGATAGTATAAGTGGCCACATTTCATCTTAGAATCGAGAATGCCCTCCACCTCTTGGTGTGGCTCCCCGCCCACAATCTGGGGAGGGAGAGCTGCAGGACGAGGTCTTCAAGACGATGGTCCTGGATTCTTTTTCAGTAGACTAAAATGGGAAACAGGATAGATGTGACACAAATTCTTAGGCAGTTCAACCTTGACAGTCACTTCATTAATGAAACGCACTACTTTGAATGGTTCCAGATACTTCCACCCCAGCTTCTTCCCAGGTTGTAGACCTCTGAGGGTTTTTGTGGAAATATACACTGAATCTCCAGCCTTCAAAATCCTGGGCCCCCTCCCTTTGTCAGCTTGCCACTTGTAATCCTCCTTGGCTTTGGCCATGGTTTCCTGGAGGGAATTCCCTTTGCGTTATTTTAGACCACCTTGTTTGGGCATCCCCTGACTCAACTTCTCCCGGGCTCACGGTTGGGAGGGGCCCCCCTTCATACCCGTGCACTGGGGAAACTCCTATGGAGCTGTGCACTGAATTGTTGTAGCTATATTCAGCAAAAAGAAGCAGGTCAACCCAATCATCCTGCTGGTACTTTATGAAGCATCTTAGGAACTGCTCCAACAGTTGATTTGTCCTCTCCATTTGCCCATTCATCTCAGGATGTAAGGTGCTATTGAGTCCCTGCTGAGTCCCCAACAATTTTAACAGTTCCTTCCAGAACCTCTCCATGACCTGGGGGCCCTGATCAGATATTATCTTGTGGGGCAAGGCGTGCAGCCTGATTATATGTTGCAGGAACATCTGAGCTAACGTCCGGGCCGTGGGTAGCTGCTTGCATGGAATGAAATGCGCCTGCTTTGAGAATAGATCCACTACCACCCAAACCACAGTTTTCCCTTTGCTTGGGGGTAGGTCCATGATAAAATCCGCAGAAATGGACCAGGTCCATTTAGGGGTCTCTAACGGCTGGAGTAGACCTGGAGTCTTCCCAGCCTACTGCTTGGCCGTTAAGCAGAACTGGCATGAGGCCACGTATTGGGATATGTCTCTCCACATTTGGGGCCACCAGAATTATCTCTGGATGAGGTTCAGAGTCTTTAGATATCCGTAATGTCCAGCCAGTTTGTTATTGTGCCCCAACTGTAGGACCACCCCTATAGGGATTTAGGGATGATAGAAATTGGCAAACCCCAAAAAGGTTTGTAGTTGGCGTCGGGTTTGGGGGGGCTCCCACCCCACCACATCCTGGTTCTTCCAAGGGTCCATCCCAAGTCCATTGCCTGAGATCCGGTACCCAATGAAGTCCAGCTCCTCCTCGTGAACCCCACCAGGCACCTTAACTGGCTCTTTTGACTGGTGAAGCCACATGATATTTGAGTGGTTCTCCGCCTCGCAGGCCATCTGTATCCAGCCGTTCAATGTCAGGGGGTTGTCCTGTGCCAGCACTCGTTCCAGAATGGAATGGTTCAGACCGGCCCAGTAGAATTCGATAAGCACCTCTTCAGGCCATCCCTGGAGCTTGGTGGCCTGCAGCTTAAACTTGTCCAAGTACTTGTGCACTCTTCGGGCCCCTTGGCGCATCCCCTGCAGATTGGTTCATGCCTGCTCCAGCTCCAGGGGGTCCTCATACTGCTGTCGGAAGGCCCACATTAACGCATTCACATCCCGCAGCTCCAGGCCCTGGACATTATGCAGCCCCACAAACCAATCTGCCACCTGGTCTCTGAGCCTGGATCCAATATAATCCACTTGATACTCATCCGAGGCGAACTCAGGAACTTGTGCACCGACAGCATGAAGAAAGCTAGTTTCTCAGGTGTCCTGTCGAATGTGGCCTCAAGAACCTCCCTTGGGCAGTCCAGGATGGGTGATGGGATCCCCAGAACTGTGGGTGGGGCTGTGGCCAGTTGCCCTCGAGGGGCTTCGGACGGAGCCTGTGCCCCCACTGCCCCAGCTGTGGTGCCCTCTGCTACTGTGGTGCCTCTGCCCCCCCCGGGCTTGGAACTCCCTCTGGATAGCCTCGCAGATGGTCGCAGGGAGATACAGCATCATCATGTGTGTTTCCCTCCAGAGTTCTTCCATCTCACCCGGGAGTTCCAGGTGAAACTGGGTGAGCTCACTCTCCTCCGTGATCCTCATCCACTCCAGGTCACCTTGGAAGGAACGGGAAATGCCTCCGGTCCGTCTCAGTCCAAAATTGCCCCTGCCGGGTTCCAGGGATCATCACCCAACTGGGCTTGGCCCAGCTGGGAAGGGGGGCCCACAAGTCCCTCAGCTTTGCTCCTGGGTCTGGGTCTCTCCCCTCACACGTCAAGATGCTAGATTTGGTGGTCCAGGGTTCATGATTTTGGTGCGACGGTTCAGGGAAATTGGGAGTTCTGACTCTATGTCAGACTCTTGGACAAAGTTACTCTCAACAACACTCACTGAAGGTGGTTTGTTTATTGAAGAATAAAGATGTTCCAAGCTAAAAACGTTGTTGAGACAGAACTGAGGTTCTGGTAAGAACATAAGAACATAAGAGACGCCAATGTTGGATCAGGCCAAAGGCCCATCCAGTCCAACACTCTGTGTCACACAGTGGCCAGAAATACCAGTGCCATCAGGAGGTCCAGCAGTGGGGCCAGGACATTAGAAGCCCTCCCACTGTTGACCCCCACCAAGCACCAAGAAGAGCATCACTTGCCCCAGAGCCCCTAGTTATACCTTGTGGCTAATATCCACTGATGGACCTCTGCTCCATATGCTTATCTAATTCCCTTTTGAAGCCGTCCATGCTTGTAGCCTCCACCACTTCCTGTGGCAGTGAATTCCATGTGTATAATTGGGAAACCACCCCAATTATACATGGTTCAAATGTAGTCCCCTCCAATCACACTGCCTGTTCATTCCCGCCTAACCAGCGCGCTTTCAACCCCTCACCTGTAAATCACCCGTTTGTTATCTAAGCTAAGGCGGTAAACACAGACACAGACCAGGGCCATCTGGCTGACATCCCTGGGAAAGGGAGGTATCTTCAGAAAGTTACATGAGATGCATTGCCCTACAATAAAGCCATTCTCACTCTCACACATTCACACTCCCCCCACCTCCTTTGGAATTTCCCCAGAACAACATGGCAAACGAGGCATCGAGTTTGACACATAAGCTTTCATGGGCCAGAGAGCCCACTTTGTCAGATGCATGAAGTGTTGTTTTCTGTTGGCAGAGAAGTAGGATATATATGCACACAAATCTACGACAGAAAAAGGGCAGTAGGATTATTACAAAGACAGGCTAGAAGGCCCAGGATCCCAGAACTTGGATTACATTGCATAGCACAATCAAAAAAAGGCAGTCAAAAAGAATAAATGCCCCAGTCAGAACATGTGTAGACCACTCCCCCTGAAATGGTTTCTGTCAAAAGCTCATCCCCAAAATATGTTTTAGTCTTGAAATGGCTGTTAGACTCTTTGTTGCTGTAGCATTCAGTATGTTTCTTGGAGAGCTGGAAAAACTATGCATTACTTAGTGGCAACCAAGTGTCCTGCCTTTGATTGAGTGTTCTCCTCCTAGGTTCCTACCGGTCCACCTGGTTCCCAGGAGGTCTTCTCTGCCACCTGAACCTGCCTCCTTCCAGGCTGCTCACCAGCCCCCTCTCCCTCCAGCACTCCTGCAGCGGTATCTGGAGATGCTTCTGCCCTCTCACGCTGAGCTCGGCTACAAGGGGGCTTTCTTTTCCTCCTACCCCCACTACCAGGTGTGTCTTCATCAAAGCTGCAGCTGAAGCTCCTCAGCCAACAGACGGAATTGCCAATAGAAAGCTTTGGCTGTAAAATGTGGATTTTAAATAGCCTCCCTGAGTTATCTTTTATTTTTAAACCGCTTCACTAAATAGGAGGATTTTCTTCTACAAGGATATGTGGAGTCATCTTCATCCTGACTCATAACATTGATTGGTTTACCAGGTTGAGTCTTGTCTATTTGGACATGCCATTATCTGAGAACCCCTTTTTCTCAATTAATATTTTATTGAAATTTTGTAAATATTACAAAAATAATAAAAGAATGCAAAAATACACGGTGAATTTATACAGCTCATATAATGGAACTTAAGATCAAGATAGTAGTACATAAAGTAACCAGAGATTGGTTAAGAAAAAAAATCACGGCACAGAGGTTGAAATACAGAACATAGTGTCTAGTGTATAGGTTTTACCACAAACATAAGTCATCGATTACTTTAGGGATTTCCTGTTGAGAGGTCAAATATTCTAAAATGCGGAAGCAAGATAGAGGTAAAATTAGAGAGTGACAAGTGCTTGTCAAAATGTGTAGTATTGTCCATAAGGTAAAAATCCCACAACTTTTTATGCCAATGTGAGAGAGTGGGTAACAGTACCTTTCCCAGTTTGTGGCAATGACAGTCTAAGCCACAGATAGAATAAGAGAGACCCTTTCTATTTTAGAGGAAGAACAGGCGCCTCGAGACCTATCCATTCAGAAAGGGATCTTTGAGTGTCGAGAAATATCCAAATTTGTGATGGATTTAAGATGTCCCAGAACAGCTGAGAACCCCCTTTTTAATCAGGAAGTGTCAGGGATTAAACCAGGGCACTTACATAGGGAAGGAGCACGTCACTGCTGCCCTACCAGTGAGCTACAGCTCCATCTGAAAAGAAAACCGGCTTAGAAGTAGAACTCTAATGAGCTATCCCGCCGGTTCCTCCCCATCCCGCCGGTTCCGGACAGGGGGGAACCAGCAGGATGGGGGGGGGGGACTTACCTCCTCCTCCTGCTTCCTCCTCTGCTTCCTGTGTGGAGGTCCCTCCCCCCCCCGCGAGTATCGCGGGTCCCGCCCCTTTGTATAACTTAATAAGACCTCCTTATAGATACATCCTATTCCTCCACTTAAATGTTTCAAACATATCGTTTATGCTTCCCCTTTAACATTCAAACGTGAAACTTTATTCTAAATGCATTTGAAATGTAATTTTTATTTTGGATGTAATACCCTTGCATGGCAAAGAGATTCCCATGAGCCTTGCCCAGTGGCTCCTCTTCCGAAGCCACCTCAGGGCTTTCTTCCCTCCTTGTTCCTATTTCAGTTTGGCTATCCCAACGGCCACTTCCCGGACAGTGCCAGTCCTCGGAATCCGGAGGTCCCCGTTCTCTTGGATCGAGCCGCTGCCTCAAAGAGCCTGTTTGGAGTCAGCAGTGCCCCTTCCTACAGGGGGCAGCAGGGGCTGGATGGAGGCCAGCTTTTCCAAGATTTGGGAGGACTCTACTTGACACAGAAGCAGACAGGCAAATCCAGCACGAGAGATCAGCACACACAGGATTCCCGGACAGAAAGTTCCCTTCAGGACTACGGCAGTCACTTTGAAGACGGAGAGGAACCCTGGATACCCCTGGCAGAACCAGGTAAGGCCTTTCTGCCCTGTGTTGCAATGAAGCACCCAGGCCCACGCCTCCTAAGCACCGTAATACCTGAGTGTTTGAGTGCGGAGGCCTGTGACTGTTGAAAAGCATCAACAACATGTTCGTCTCTTCCACTGACCTATCTGTAGACCGAGCTGTACAGAGACTCTCAGCAGTGCTCAACAGCTATGGGATCAGACTGCAGGACATCAGTCCCCAGCAGCTCACCTCCCTCATCAGTCTGTTCCGGCTCCACCAAAGTCCTGGTAAGAATGGCGAGGTGTATAAGAAGATCTGGGAGAAAAATCTGTGGGCCCTTGGGATGGCTATGGAATAGCCTCTGGGTTATAAGGGAAGTGGCTATTTTATGGTGCTACTAATCTGCACAATATCCCTGAAGCCAGAGCTAATTTTGAGCCTGGAATGCGTCTTTCAATATGAGACCTTAGGTCTGAGCTTGGGCAGCAGACCTTTCCTGTACTGTTTGGAACCGCAGCCCACCCTAGTGCTCATATGAGAATAGGAGGGAGAGTTTCAAAGTGAATAGTGTGACCTCCAGCTCCAAGATCTTTCCTCTTATGTGTTATTATTTACTTAAAATATTTATATCCCTCATTCTGAATTTCCAAAGCAGCTTACAGCATTCATGAGAGCACACAGAAGTAAAAACCCAGCAGAGCTAAAATCCAACAGCAGTGATAATAGTATCATTAAAAGTACCAATTATAGAGCAGGTTAGAAACATAAAAGCAAACAGCAGTGATAATAGTATCATTAAAAGTACCAATTATAGAGCAGGTTAGAAACATAAATGCAAATGTAATCATCTGTTAAGCAATGTAATCATCAATTAACCAGAAAGAAAGAAAATTATACTTCAGTCATACATCCAGTCATTTGTAAAGATAAAATAAGAATGTAGGAGAAAGAGACAAATCAACAATAAGCTTGGGAAAATAAAAATATTTTTGCCTGAGCCCTAAAAGCTAGATTTGGTACTGGGCAAAACTCCTTCTTGAGGTGGGAATTCCAGAGTCATGGTGCCACAGCAGATAAGGCCCCATCCCTGGTACTCACCCATCTTGGTTCTGAAAGGGGGGGCGGTGTAGCACAAGGCTTGAGGATGGTCTTAACTGAGGGGCAGGTTCATCTGGGAGGAGGCAGTCTTTTGGCTTTATAAGTAGTAATCATTTAAAAAATTAAAAATGAAACTCTTCCCGTGTCAAATTCTTTTCTCCAGCAGGTGGGCTTGGACCAGACAGCCCAGAGTCTAAGCGGGTAAGTGCAGCTTCTCCTAGTTGCCTGGGACAGTCTGTTAAGGACCTCTTAGAATACATCCCTTCCTCTGTTAAGAAGTAGTTATCTGAATATGGGGCTGCTGAATGAATATATTCCTCTGAGGTGTAAATGTTGCTAAGACTGGCTTTGCTAGGTACAACCTATAGTGTGTTTCCTGATAACCAGTTTCTAGATATGTCCATCCTGTGACAGGGAGAAGGTGTGTGGTCCATCACTTGTCAAGCCTGATGGCAGAGATGGCCATGCCAGAGATGATGATGATGGAAGGCCTTCTGCTTCAGATTCAGGGGACCTGCAGAGCTGCTTGGAGCAGAGAGTAGAATTACTGTGGTAACTGCAGGATGTTTGCATTGCTGGTCGGTGATTATGCCTCTCTCCAGGATAGTGTAGTGGCTGTGAGACAGAGAGGAATTTCACAGTACTCTTTTTAACCCGTTTTGAAGCCGTTTTTGATCCGTCATGGAGTAAACCAATATAGGGCTGCCATTTCACACATGGCTTTCCCCTTCCAGTAAAGAGCTGGATCTGAAGCGGTTTGCCATTTCAGACTGCACCGCTTTTCCCCCGCCGTTTTTCGCCCGCGCAGGCGATCTCCGGCTTTTTTAAAAAAACGTTCGCTTTATAGCACTATAGCACTATAACAAAACACTCCAGGCATTCCAATGGTGTTGATATACTGCTATTCCGTTATAGCGTTATAGCGCTATAATGCTGTAAAGCAAACGTTCCACACAAAAAACAAAACCAGAGATCGCCTGTGCAGGCGGAAAACAGCAGGAAAAAGTGCATTGGAACCGGGAGAGGAAACTGAAGACTACTTGGAAGCGGTTGACAGGTAAAATGCTTCAGCCCCATTTCCTAAACGGGACAGAAGCGTTTGTGTCTGAAATTACAAATATATTCCGGTAGGGAACCGGTTCTAAAATGGTTCTGTCTGAAATGACAGACCAGAAACCGTTTGGGAACCGTTCCTCTTCCGGATTATATCGTCTGTCTGAAATTCCTCAGAGTTCTAGCTCAGGAACATCCTGTTTTGAATTCCCTCTCAGCCACAAATTCTCTAGGTTGCCTTAGGTTACATCCTCTGTTTCAGCCCCGGCCCCAATCTACAATATGGGAATAATAATGACCTACCTTACAGGGCTCTTGTAAGGCTTACAATAAAATATTACATAGGGAGTGTTTTTTGACATTGAAATGCTTGGTATAAGTACTATTTTTTTATTAAAAAATTAACACTGTCCTCCTCCTCCTCCTCAGGTGACAGAAGCTGAAATGCAACATGGGGATGACCTGAAACTGCCACCCTCTCAAGAGAGCTACGTTAGTTCTGGCCCCACTGAGAGGCAGATACTAGCACAGGTTGAGGCACTTGGCCCAACCCAGGCCAAAGTGTGGACAACAGTGGCTCCCCCAGAACAGCCTGAACCCCTGCGCCCTGGTGAGAGGGGCAGAACTGGTCCCGAGGGGCAAGTGGTTATGAAGAAGAGCCACTCAACATCAGGGGGGCCTGGCAGGGCGGAAGAACGGCTGGAGACAGCACTGGCTGCTGAGGAGTATGGCTACATTGTCACTGACCAGAAGTGAGAGGGGGCAGGACACGGGAAAGAGGGAGGGGGTGAGAAAAAGAAAGGGATCAATGGGTGTGGGAGGGAGTGGTATTTTCTAACAGGTGAAAATAAGACAAGTGTACCATAGCTATGAGGCACCGGATAAATCTGTATTATATCATCCCAAATGGATCTAGTCAGATGCATTAGCGTTAGCCATGCATTGATATATTGCCAATAATTGGTCCTTTAATTGGTAAGGAAAATATCAAGTACTATACCTATTAAAATGTATACAGTTGGAGGGATTGGGAAAAATGCACAGAAAAATGTGAGTTGTGCTGTATTAAATGGGGAAGAATGATATAGTGTGGCAGAGGTCATTTCGGGGGGGAACGCGGGGGATCGTAGTTCCCCCGGGTGAGGTACAGGGGCGGGGCATATGACGAAGCCCCGCCCTCTGCTTCCGGCCGCCCCGCTTCCAGCTCTCATTCAGCCAGGAGGAGGCAGGAGAAGAGGGAGGGTAAGTTGCTTCCTCCCTGCCTCTCCCCACCCCTGCCTGCCTGGGGCCAGGGAGGGCCTTCGCGGGGCTTCCTTGCACTCCCGCCGGCCTTGCAGGTCCACCGCCGGGCCCTTCATGGGGCTCGGCAGTGCAAGGCCGGCGGTGGTGGCCGGGACCGTTGGGGGCGGGGTGTGTGGCCTTATGACACACTTCCGGTGATGTCAGGGGGTGTGGCATATGCTAATGAGTTATGCTAATGAGTTCCCCTAGCTCTTTTTCTACGAAATGACCCCTGTAGTGTGAGTGTGATCTGAAGGCCACGAGGGGCTGGGTTGAATATGAGGCCCAGGTTACGGGGAATGAGGAATATTTGCCCATTTTTGCTGAGTCACACATAGCCCTAATACTTCATACTCTGGCACATAGGCATGTCTGATAAAGGGGTGGGGGGGACACTTTTATCCACTTCCTCTCCATCACCTATTGTGTTTCTTCTGCCCGCTGTCCTTTGGCTCCTTACTTCATCTTCCACCACCTGCAGGCCCTTGGGTCTTGCTGCTGGCATCCGGCTTCTGGAGATCCTGGCTGAACATGTGCACTTGTCAACTGCCAGTTTCATCAACATCAGGTGAGGATGGGGATCTTAGCTGAGCAGTCCTGGGGTGATCTGGGGGAACTGGGGTGTGGGGTTTTCTGGTGCCTCAAGAGAGGAGAAGATTCTGGAGAGGCAGGATGTAGACCTCCCCAGAAGATGCTTGAGTGAGGGGTCTTTGTGGCTTCCCAGTGCCTGAAAATGATTATTCTCAATACCAATGAAGGCATGTTTATGTAGCTCTGAGGCTGACAAATCCCAGGCGTCTGGTTGCCCCAGTACCTAGATATTTCATAGCAGTTTCTAGTATTTTTAGCAATTATTTTACTGGAGCATCTGTCAGTAATTCTCAGTAGAAGTACAAAGCTTATTTATAATTTTACTTAAGAATGTTTTGTTGTATGACATCAAATTAATGTACACAAAGTTCTTGTCATTTCTTAATTATATGTAAAGTTTACATCCATCGGTGATGGTGGATGAATTAATATCTTAACCGGTTGTTTTCTGTGTGGTGGCAGATGGTGCTGTCAAGTCACTGCTGACTTATGGCGACCCCTGGTGGGGTCTTCAAGGCAAGAGACATTCAGAGGGGTGGTTGGCCTGCCTCCGCATCACATACGACCTCTAACGTTCATCCTAGTGGGTTTCTAAAAAGCAACAATAGACTCATGAGAAACGGGGGGGGGGAAGTTAGGCTAGGGTTAGAACTTAGTTTTTTGTTGTGCGGATGACTACCAGGATTATTGCCTGTATTTGCACATACTACAACACTTCTGTCACAACATAAATAAAATTACAAGAAACTTTGAAAAGCTTAGGGTGAGGTTTTGTGGAAGCAATAATGAGAAAATATGGTCATTTAAATACAAAACACTGAAGTTTGGCTCCTAATATTTTTTGTCTAATAGAGTAAAAACAAAATGTCAAGGCCTGGTCTAGCTAGGGTTATCTGAAGTGATTCAGCTCTGTTATCCTGAAAAAACAATTCTTATTTCTATTAATAGGTACCCAGGCTATACTCCTCCTCCTCTCTCAGCTTATAGTGTGTGTGTGTGGGGGGGTAAATTCGGAACTTGGCCCAGCTCTACGTACTAAAGGTTATTGTTGTATGTCTTCTGACCCTGAGGCAAAACACAGCTGGTCTTAGTTGAAAATGAACTTTGAGTTTCTGGTTAGTAACTGAAGCAAGTTCACATGATGCCTTGAGTCTACCTTCTGTTTAAAAGTCCTTTTTATGACTTACTATCCTACTTGGCAGCCAGTGACAGAGAAGGGCACTGGATGGGTAAATAGTACCCTTGTAACCTCCGACCTCTCTCTCTGCAGTGTTGTGGGCCCAGCCCTCACCTTCCGCATCCGTCAAAACCACCAAAACTTATCACTCGGTGATGTGGCCAACAGGGCGGGTAAGTTGACTGATGGCTGCAGAATATGAGAAGCCTTCTCGCGGCAGAGTCATCTCTCCATCCTGGCTGTAGCTGGAGGCTAGTCGTTGGTTTCCGTCAAATGGATGTGGGAAGCCCTACGACATTACAATTGTCTTCTAATTTGGTAAAACTTCCATTGCTCTCCTTGCTCTGGTCCCCCACTTGGTCTCAACGAACTGACCTCCTCGCCACTTTTGTATTGGTATAAATTACCTTTTGTCTATCATAATTGTGTTTTTGCAGGCAGACTAGCTGCAAGGCAATGCTTGTTTCTTAGTACGTGTATTGCAGCTAGAAGACATGGAAAGGTCGTGGCAGGCTGGTGTGCCTTCATTTATAATTCCCGGCCTTCAGGACCCTCACGGCCACCCTCCAGCAAAGATTCCCTGTCCCTCCACACACACACACACACACACACACACACCCCTTCAGAAAAACACACAGGTGTGCTACTACTATCCTCCAGTGGCACCTTCCCGTTCCCCAGGCCCGATGGTGACCTGGTGCACAAAATGCTGGGGAACCTCGTTCTAACCCCTTCAGTAGCCCAGCCTACTTTTCATAGTTTAGCTTGGAGCCCTACTGATGGGAGTGGAGGGGATGGCCTGGCCTACATAGTGCAAGTGCTGGGCCTGTGCAGAGGTCCAAAATGGTATGTATTGGTTAGTGACCTTACTGTGCTGTGTCTGGGCAGGGGCAGTGTATAGTAGCATCTGTGCCAGGTAGATCAGAATTTCCAAAGTGGCCTCCTTGTTCAGACAATGCTCTGTGTAGTGGAAGCCAAAATTACTTTAGCTTCACTCCAGTATTGGCTTAAACTAAATTTCCATCCTCACGGACTAACCCACTTGTTACTCTCAGACAACTTTCAATCTAAATGGCTGAGAGCAGTTCATAATAAATTATATGAGCTTGGTTTTTCCCCCCAAGCGATTTTGAGTATGCATTGGGATGTAGCAAAATCAGCCCTAAAACAGAGAATGATGGACATGGAGAGACAGACAGATCTCAGTAGATGTCCTAATTTTAGAGCCCCAGATTCTGTCAAATATCACTTGCGACCCATGTCCTATTTATCACAGCTTGATACTCATAAGTTTAGGAAAACCTTCACATTAGCCAGATGTGAGGCTTTCCCCTCCGCGATGCTTGAGGGCAGATTCAAAAGGATCCCCACTGAATATAGACTTTGTAAATGCGGCTCAGGAGAGACAGAAACTATTGAGCACATGATGCTCAGATGTAACTGGTATAACAAGATCCGTGACAAATATATTACTCCTCTTATAACAGATATGGTGGGACAATCAGGTGCTGAGCAATGTAACCGATTGTTAATTGATGGGAACCGGACAATTACCGAAACTGTGGCAAAATTTTGGGTAGCATGCTACTGCATCCGAAATACACAATCAAATGTATAATAATAGTTGCCTAATAGTCTCTGTTTTATGTTCTTCTTTTACTTTATTACGCTCAACTGTATTTTTATAGAATTTTGTTTTACTGTCCTAAATTCAGTTATATGAATGTTATATTTAAGCATGTGTGTTCTATGGCTTGTTGCCGTAATAAATGACTGCGTCTGCTCTGTGTAGTAACTGGTAAAAGCGCAGGCCACCTTCTTGGTTGCTGTTCTTATGAAATGCTGTGTGCGTTGCCGCATGGGCCATGACGTCAGGGCCATGTTGGCCTACAGCTTGCTGTAAGAAGAATTGTGATGATGCAGAACATTTGTTAGTGGCCTTTTGTTTTTGTTTTTCAATCAAAGTAAGAGAATCAAGCACATAGTATCACTCAGTTTGGAGCCAGTAGGTTTGACTGTCTTGGGGAGGGGGAGGGATAAAGCTCCCATCCCCCCAGCAGCCATGTCTCCTGTCCCCAAAGGGGAAGGCCCTTCTGTAACAATCCTTTTTCTGCTCCTGTTTCCAATCTAGCACTGGTAAAACCACAGCTGGAGTCTGAGGTGGGAGTGAAGATCCTACAGACAGGTGTGGGGCAGGTAAGCCAAGAGGCAAAATGGGGCTTTGGGCACTCTGAATCCTCCACTGGCTGGAAAGGGGCGGCACCCGCACCTGAAGGCCAGGAGAGGGCCCCATAGCAATTTGTCCTGCTTTCAGGTAGGTCAAGATGGGTAGCCGTGTTTAGTTTATCTCTACAGTCCTTAGACCAGTCATACAAAAAGACGTACACCTTTACAGAATTCCAAGGGGTAGCCGTGTTGGTCTGTCTGTAGCAGAAAGCGCAGGCCACCTTCTTGGTTGCTGTTCTTATGAAATGCTGTGTGCGTTGCCACATGGGCCATGACGACAGGGCCATGTTGGCCCACAGCTTGCTGTAAGAAGAATTGTAATGATGCAGAACATTTGTTAGCGGCCTTTTGTTGTTGTTTTTTTCAATCAAAGTAAGAGAATCAAGCACATGGTATCACTCAGTTTGGAGCCAGTAGGTTTGACTGTCTTGGGGAGAGGGAGGGCTAAAGCTCCCATCCCGACAGCAGCCATGTCTCCTGTCCCCAAAGGGGAAGGCCCTTCTGTAACAATCCTTTTTCTGCTCCTGTTTCCAATCTAGCACTGGTAAAACCACAGCTGGAGTCTGAGGTGGGAGTGAAGATCCTACAGACAGGTGTGGGGCAGGTAAGCCAAGAGGCAAAATGGGGCTTAGAGCACTCTGAATCCTCCACTGGCTGGAAAGGGGCGGCACCCGCACCTGAAGGCCAGGAGAGGGCCCCATAGCAATTTGTCCTGCTTTCAGGTAGGTCAAGATGGGTAGCCGTGTTTAGTTTATCTCTACAGTCCTTAGACCAGTCATACAAAAAGACGTACACCTTTACAGAATTCCAAGGGGTAGCCGTGTTGGTCTGTCTGTAGCAGTAGAAAAGAGTAAGAGTCCAGTAGCACCTGAAAGACTAACAAAATTTGGGGTAGGGTATGAACGTTTGTGAGTCACTGCTCACTTCTTCAGATACCCCAAATTTTGTTAGTCTTTCGGGTGCCACTGGACTCTTACTTTTGTCCTACTTGCAATATGCTGTGATATAAGCTACAGAGTAAAACTGCTGGTTTTAGCAAGGCGAAGGAGCCAAGTACGGTGAAATGAGAACTTTCCTCCCTGAGGAGCAGCTGTAGCTTTGATGTAGCTTCATGCTACAAGGATGATGGAGGAACAAATCCAGTGATAAGGAACAAATGGTGTTTTATTCCAGTGGGAGGACTGGAGGTGGCCACTGTTTGAGATGAGCCCTGATTGACACAGGCTCTTTTTTTTTTACAATTTTTTATTAAACTTTCAAAAAAATACATATAATACATAGCAGACAGAACAAATGACATTACATTATGCTCACAAACTGAGATAAACAGAGAACGTATTACCAAAGGTGTAACTTATCAATTATACTCGGTATTTCCTCTTGAGATAAATGTTCTAAGATAGGAAACCAAAGAGAAACAAAATCAGACTTGGAAGAGGGTATATATGTATTATTAATATTATTTGTTATTTTTGCCATTGTGTACATATTCCAACCTAGCAGTTCGAAAGCAAGAAATTGCAAGTAGATAAATAGGCACCACTTCGGTGGGAAGGGAACAGCGTTCCATGCGCCTCAGTGTTTAGTCATGCCGGCCACGTGACCACAGAAACGTCTTCGGACAGCGCTGGCTCTTCGGCTTTGAAACGGAGATGAGCACCGCAACCCTAGAGTCGGATTCGACTGGCTTTCGAGCAAGGGAACCTTTACCTTTTACATATTCCATAATTTGGAATACCAATTCTGTCTACTAGGGCCAATGATATTTTTCCATTTTTTGGATGCCACAGACTATTCTTCCTTTCCCCCTTTAAAGCTCACTTTTCCCGTCTTTCCACAGCGCAACGAGGCTGCAACATACCCACATCCTGTGCATTTTGGTGACACCTTTCGCTCAGTGCTGCTCACCTTTGTGGCGCTGGCCTGTGTGGCAGGCATTGTCATTGCTGCTGCTGTGGTCTTCTGTTTGCGCCAGCATGCCAAACAGCGTGAAAAAGAGCGGCTGGCTGGGTTGGGGCCTGAAGGAGCAGCCGATAGCACCTTTGAATACCAGGTACTGAAGTGACACGCATTGGAAACTCTATACCAGATTATTACATCAGTGAAGGTTTATGTGTGAGTGCAGCTACCATGTGGAGAGATCCATGGCCTGCTTTATAAGTTTACCTCATACCACACAATATATGAGATAACAACCCTTGGTCAGGATTGAGGTACAGCAATTTCTGGATGTGTTTTTTAAATAGTATGTATTATTGACCACTGAGGAAGGCCCTTGAGGCTGAAACGCATAGGGTCTGTGTTGGTCATTTGACATGTTCATCAACTTTGTATGGGAAATTATTATAAGGAAGGCCGAGCGCCGAAGAATAGATTCTTTTGAACTGTGGTGCTGGAGAAGACTCTTGAGAGTCCCTTGGACTGCAAGAAGATCAAATCAGTCAATCCTAAAAGAAATCAACCCTGACTGTTCCCTGGAAGGCCAGATAATGAAACTGAAGCTCAAATACTTTGGCCACCAAATGAGAAGGGAGCCCTCACTGGAGAAGACCCTGATGCTGGGAAAGATTGAAGGTCAAAGAAGACGGGGACGACAAAGGATGAGATGGTTAGACAGTGTCATCGATGCAACGAACATGAAGTTGAGCCAGCTTCAGAGGACGGCAGAAGACAGGAGGGCCTGCCGTGATGTGGTCCATGGGGTCACAAAGAGTTGGACTCAGCTGCGCGATTGAACAACAACAATGTAAAGCTTATTCTGACCCTTAATGCAGACTGATATTCAGGCCTTATGTTTTTAATTTTACTATTGTGTACACCATATAATAAGTATTTATTTTGATGCTGTTTTATCAGCTGTAGCTTGACCCTTGTATTATCAGTATACTTTGGGTTGAGTTTGTTTCCCCTCCTTTTTCATAATTTTTCTGTTCACCCTTTGGGAGCTGCTATCCTGAAGACTATTGCACCATATAGTGTTTGCAGCTGTTTCTGTCCTGCAGGAGCTGTGTCGGCAGCACATGGCTGCTAAGTCACTGTTTGGCCGCGTGGAAACACCCCCTGCCCCAGCCGAGAACTCCCGTGTGAGCAGCGTCTCTTCACAGTTCAGTGATGCACCCCAGGCCAGTCCCAGCTCCCATAGCAGCACACCGTCCTGGTGCGAGGAACCTGTGCAGTCCAACATGGACATCTCCACTGGTCACATGATTCTGGTGAGATCTGGCTGAGTCCTTTCTGGTTATGTTGATGTGGGTGGGAGGGACAGGCTTATGATGGTTCCGGGCTGCCATTTATCTTTCCCCCCAAAGCTTGGGAAGCCGTAGATCTGTCACTGTCTCATATACAGAAGTGGCAACTGGTGGCTGAAGTGGTGGAAGCTCTGTCGGGCCTCATGCTCAGCAAAACAGCGTTGCCCATGCCCCTCTGATCCCAAGTAGCAGCAGTGACCCCATTGCCTGTACTGCCGCGGAAGCTAGCCGTATGCAAGCCAATGCACTGCTGTGTTCAGATGGTGATACCTGTGCTGTGCCCCCCCACCACCATCAGGCATACATGGAGGACCATCTGCGCAACCGTGATCGGTTGGCCAAAGAGTGGCAAGCACTGTGCGCATACCAGGCTGAACCTAATTCCTGCAGTGCAGCCCAGCATGAAGCAAACACCAAGAAAAACCGTAACCCGGATTATGTGCCCTGTGAGTAGAAATGATTGCTACACGTGTGCAGCACAAGACAGGGTTCCTTCCTTCCTCGTGCTCCTGTTCCCGATGCCCTGGCATCTTCAACTAGGCAGGTGGGAACTGAGGCTCTGCATAGCCTTGAGGTGGACTTGGGCGGGATCCGTCACTCACTGCTTTGGCTTTGGGCGAAGGTTCATCGTTTGCTCCCCCCACCCCCACACAAGGATTCCACCATCAGGACAGGTGAGGCCAGAAATGCCGCGCTCCGCCTGCTTCCCCCCTCCATCTCTGTCTGTTCCAGTGAAGCTTGCTACATTGGCTTATTGTACTTTGTGCTGTTTCCCAGATGACCACGCACGCATCAAGCTGAAAGCAGAGAGCAACCCATCCCGGAGTGATTTCATCAATGCCAGTCCCATTGTGAGTGACAGGCAACCCGGTTTGCACCCCTGCCCACCCTCTTGCATTCCCACTGCCCCACCGCAAGAGGCAACTTTCTCTGTGCCTTCCTCCTCACCCCAGCATCCACCGCTCCTTTGTAAGTGATGCCCCTCAAGCCCCTCAGCTTCCTCCGCAGTGATAAACGTGTCAGGCCATCAGAAGGGAAACAAGTCATCTGCCAGTCCTGGGCCCTCTGGGCTCTTCGGATCTGTTCAACAAGTTTATTTATCTGAATGTGCCCCCCTAGTCTTGCCAAAATGGGCTGGAAAAGCTAGGCCCCTCCAGATGGTGTCTGTCAACAGGTACACTTTCTCACTTCGGTTTGGTGTCAGTTTGGCGTGGTGGTTGAGTGTGTGGACTCAAATCTGGGAGCACCGGGTTTGATTCCCCACTCCTCCACTGGCACCTGGCTGGATGACCTTGGGCAAGCCGTAGTGCTGTCAAAGCTGTTCTTAAAAGAGCTCTCTCAGCCCCACCTACCTCACAGGGTGTCTGTCTGTTGTGGGGAGGGGAAGGGAAAGGAGTTTGTCAGCCGCTCTGAGACACCTTCGGGTAGTGAAGGGCCGGAGGGTATAAATCCAATCTCTTCTCTTCTTCTCTTCATGGTGCGAAGTATTTCACTTCCCCATATTAGAATGGGATGACTCCTGCTCCCATAACCTAAACTTTTGGCCTTTTCTAACTAGCTTTGTACTCTCTCCACTTGTTTTTGGTGGTGGCTTTGCGCCTCTCTGTTTCTGCTTCAGTCAAGCATGAGAGTGTTATCTGTGCGCAGTCAATTCACATTAGGGACAAACTAGATGTCCCTGTGTCCACAGGTTGGACCCGTTTTAAAGCACTCTAAAAATGCTGCAGGATTGGGCCCGCAGCACAGCAGACTGAACTGCTCTTGTCCTCCCCCCACCCCACCCCACGCCTTCTCAAGTGTCAAAACAGGAGGGGGGGGATGCAGCTGTTTCAGCACCTGGAAAGGCACAGGGGGTGGGGGGGCAAGGGCATCTCAGCCTGGGGTGGCGTGTGCTTCGTTTTGTCTTTTCCACAGCCTCATAATTGCAGCTCTTTCAATCTAAGTTAGGGTGCATTGATTGCCTGCTTGTGGGTTGCTGAACCCAAGAAACATAAATCAAAAGGCTGGATTATTTCTAGTAATTTAGGGTATCACCAAGTCTTCATAGTTGCAGACATTGTGCTGGGACAAGACCTCAAACCAGAAAGTGCATCTTACTGTGGCCAAAGTTAGGACAGGTTCTAGACAATGCTCCCTCTCAGCGGTGGAATCTTGTCAGCAACATTTCTACTTTGGGAGCTGCTGGCATTAAAGTCGTGAGTGAGCGATTTGGCTGCTGCGTAAATCAGTTTGCTCTGGAGCCGTCCTTCCTGGGCTAAGACAAAAATGTGTGAGCCGGAGGCTAAAGAACTGTGAGCTGGCTCACACGAACTCAGCTTAGAGGGAACATTGGTTCCAGACACCTCACAGTTCCTGAGCAGGGATCACTCTGCCTGAGGGTCTTGCCTTTCATGTCTGCTCTAGTTTACACCCTGTTCTGCCCTGCCTACTTTTAAGAAGTCTAAAGCACATGCTTTTCCCATCACAGATTGACCATGACCCACGGATGCCAGCGTATATCGCAGCCCAGGGGCCCCTCTCCCACACCATTGCGGACTTCTGGCAGGTGAGGCGCCTCTGGATTATGGTGAACTGATCAAGAAAGCGGGGGGCACAAGTGGACCATACTCCTCGCCAGAGGTCATTTCAGGGGGATCGCGGGGGATCGCAGTTCCCCCGGGTGAGGTACGGGGGGCGGGGCACATGACAAAGCCCCACCCCCTGCTTCTGGCCGCCCCGCTTCCGGCCCTCATTCAGCCAGGAGGAGGCAGGAGAAGAGGGAGGGTAAGTTGCTTCCTCCCCGCCTCTGCCTGGGGCCAGGGAGGGCCTTCGCGGGGCTTCCTTGCACTCCCGCCGGCCTTGCAGGTCCACTGCCGGGCCCCTCATGGGCCTTGGCACTGGAGCTGCAAGGCCTGCGGTGGCGGCCGGTACCGTTGGGGGCGGGGTGTGTGGCCTTATGACACACTTCCAGTGATGTCAGGGGGTGTGGCATATGCTAATGAGTTATGCTAATGAGTTCCCCTAGCTCTTTTTCTACGAAACGACCCCTGCTCCTGGCTGTGCAATGAAGATGAAAGTGCACACACGCACCCAGGTCCCCAAGACGGACATGGACAGTCAGTCCAGGCTTTGTTTGCACATGCAAAGGACTGAGGTGCTAGGAGGATAGAATGGATTCAGTTTTAAACTCCAGGATGCCTTTTTAATGAAGACAATGAATGAAAACAGCATGAAATGGAGAAAAGCCCTGCTCCTTCATCTAAGGCATGAAAGTGAATGGTGGAAGTGCCTCATCCCCTGGAGTGCATTGAGGCATGGTGCCTTGGGGAAAGCATCCAAAGTACAGGGGGAGGGGGGGAAAGGCAAAAGTGAAGAGAGGTTTGCCTGCCCATAGACTCCTCCCCCCCTCCCTGCCCCACTTGCTTGGCAAGCAGCAGCCTATTACGGTTGGGTGGGAGGCAGTGGAGGAGGTGGTGGCCTCGTTCCCAAGGGAAATGAGTACAAACAAGGGAAACAAAAACAGGGTGTGTGTGTGTGTGTGTGTGTGCGTGCGCGCACAGGGAATCCTTAATGCAGGAGTTCATAAAAACATAGTGATTCCCTTCCCTAGGGTCTGCCGTGATGCATCACTTAACCACTTCGTTCTGCTGCCTGGTATACACCAGGTCTCTGAACCATTCATGTTTGGAGGGCTGGGATGGGCCGGATGCCCACACCACAAAACAGCAAATCCTGTGCGGCGAATAAATGGTGCCATTCAGAGCGCTACTGATATGGGCTTATTTTTGTAGTGTGTTTCTACCTTTTGCATAACTAATCTGGTTTCTGGTAGCCATGACTAGGGGAAAAGGGACAAGAAATGCTGAGTGCTGAACCATACCCACGGGAAATTCTGCACGGTGAGAATTCACTAGGCACAGCCCAGGCTGATGTCTTTGGTCACAAGGGATTAAGTCACGTGCTCTCTCTTGGTTTTAAGTTGGAAGGTAGATCTGCAGGATGCCCAACGTTGTATTTCCTGGTTACGTGGAGAGGGGTACATGCAGCTCTGGAGTCTGGTTTTGGACCCGTGTGGTTCACATCCTGCCCTGTCCCGAGGTATGAATGGGGCCCACTCCGACTAGAGAGGCCGACAGCCGCTTGCTTCTGACAGGCTGTTTAGCTCTCTGTCGTAAAATGACACCCCCTTGTGCCCACTCCGAGCAGCTGGCAATGAGCCATTGGATTCTGCCTTTCTGCCCCTGGGAGCTGTGATGATAATGCCTCTTGCTTGTGTGTAGATGGTGTGGGAGAATGGCTGCACTGTGATTGTGATGCTGAGCCCCCTCGTGGAGGATGGGATCAAGCAGTGTGACCGCTACTGGCCTGACGAAGGCTCCTCGCTCTACCACATCTATGAGGTGAGCTTAGGCCTGCTGGCATTGGTTCCCTTTGCATTAAGGACCCCCGAGCTCGCTAGGGAGGGATGCCTTGATGTGCTGCCTGTGGGTGTGCTTTTTGTTGCCCCACATCCTGACTCTTTCCATACTCCTTTCTTTTCTCTTTTCAAGTTCTCTTCTTCACTCTGTCCTCTTTTGCTGTGTTCAGACTCCCTCTTTTCCTCATCTTTCCTTTCTGATTTCCAACCTTCTAATTGTTTATGGCTTTAAGGGGTGTTACTTGGCCTCTGGTGAGACTGGGAGCTCTTGATTCAGCTTTGTTTTATCTAAGGCCAGAGATGTCCTCTTGTAGGCCGTCTCTCTCTCTCTCTCTGTCTGGGTGATGGCGATGCTTGCTGATTCTTCTGCAGCACCCATTTTCTTTCCTGAGCCCGAGTAGCTAGCCTCTGCCACGGCCCTTGCCAACCCGACTAGGCTTTTACGCCCATTCTGAAAGTATGTGCCAGCCAGCTCCCAGCTGCTCCTTCCAAATGTAAGATATTGGCCATCTTTGAGCTAAGAAATCATGAAAACAAAAGTTATCCCTGGTGGCCAGAATCAGTTTTTCCACAGAGGAAAGAATGATTGCTGACTTCCAAGGTAGTCTTGCGAGGGCTGTATGACTGACACACACTCAAGGCCCCTGCTCTGATGTCAGTCCCAATTGTGTAAAGCCCCCTGCAGGGAAGGAGTAAAAGAGGCCAGATGTGGGTTGCCATCACTTCTGTGCTGAACAGAGTTCCACTTTCCTACGGAACTACTTCTAATTGCTCCGGGAATAGGTGAATCGTATCTAGGGACAAAATACAATGGAAGCTGGTGACTGGCTTGGTATCTGTGAAGCAGGGCTTGCAAGACGGAGCTCTTCCGCCAGGCCTTTGTATAGGAGCTGCCGCCGCCACTGTACCACCACCGAGCTGCCATCTTTGACGGTGGACTAGATCTGGAGGTGAGCCGGCCCTGGGCAGACGCCCAGACGCCTACGTAACCAAAGAACCAAAGAATGCATGCTGTCAGGTTAGGTTAATGAATGAACCCATCTTGGACTGAGAAAAACATTTTAACATCAAGAGCACCGCACTTTACTTAATGATTGTTTTTATTGTGTAATGATTGTTTTATGATGTTTTAACTGTTGTTATGGCAATTGCCTTTGTTGTAGCCGCCCTGAGCCTGCTGGGGAGGGCAGGGTATAAATCTAACAAATAAATAAATAAATAAATGGAGCGGTTGGTGGGGAGAAGATTGTGTATGCTGCCTTGAGCTGCTTGGTGGGGTAAAATTGTGCTAGAGTTGGCAGGGCCCTATCACATGGAAGATGGGAAATAGCAGTGAGTGTTTACTCCCCCCCCCAAAAAAAAACACAAACCCTTGGGGGTCTCTATACAGGTGAACTTGGTATCAGAACACATCTGGTGTGAGGATTTCCTAGTGCGCAGCTTCTACCTGAAGAATGTGCAGTCCCAGGAGACCAGGACCCTCACCCAATTTCACTTCCTGAGCTGGCCAGCAGAAGGGATTCCCACCACCACGCGGCCTCTTCTTGACTTCCGCAGGTGAGGGATATCGCTCCCACTTGCATGACGTGTTGATGATGGGACCGGGCATGTTATATCTGGTGTAAAAGTTGGGGGGGGGAGTTTGGGGGTCACAGTTTATATGTCTGGCTTCCAGAAGGTGGGCTGTACCAGGCTTCAAAACTCTTCAAGGCATGTTCTCCTGACAACAGAGCGGGGGGGGGGGGGGGGTGTCCCAGCTGCAGTGTCATGTTGGGGAGGAACAAAGGATGCAACCTGGTGAAAAGTACGGCTTGTTTTTGCAACTTGTAGGACTAGGGGGCTGTGTCACCATCTGATGGAGCCATTTGAAATGACTTATTGCACTAATTAGGGTTGCCAGCCTCCAGGTAGCACATGGAGATATCCCACTATCACAGTTGATTTCCAGATGGCCAAGGTCAGTTCCCCTGGAGAAAATGGCTGCTGCTTTGGAGAATAGATTCTGTGGCATTATCTCCTGCTAAGAGCCCTTCCCTCCCCTCCCCAGACTCCACCCACAAAATCTTCAGGGATTTTTCAATCCAGAACCAACAGCCCTGTGCACTATTGCTGGAGACATTCAGAGAGAGAAACCAGGCTTGTCTTCTTTTCTGTGGAGCCTCAGAATGGCAGGGCCTAATTTAAGTTTGGGAGATTTAAACAATAGTAATGGGGGGGGGGTGTCTTCCCTGCCCTCTACCCAACTTTGCAAGGAAAGCTTATTTAGATTTTTTTTACTGTATCTCAGTGGATGTAAGGAAGCCGTCAAGGCCTCTTTAGCAACTGTTCATACTTCCCCAGCAGTTAACCACACCAGTCCCGTCTCTGAGGCTTCATTCAAAGCACATTGCATTGAAGCACATGGTATGGTTTCCTTTTAACTGTTAGCAGGCGTAGTAATGGTCCCCCTCCCCCTCTTTGCTGGAAGGAATTCTCTGACGAAATGGGACTAGGGTTGCCAAGTGGCAGCGGGGGATCTGCGAGTTTTTACCGGAGCTCTGCCGCGGGGACGGCGACACACGTTGCGCCCGCCGTCG